AAAAAAGAAAAAAAGTGTCGCCGCCCGAGATTCGAACTCGTAATCTCTCGAACGGCACGTCTATGCTCTGCTCACTAGACCATTGCGACTGTTGGAGCGACGCGAGCTGAATGGCGTACAAATGCTTTCTCTCAAAATAGCTTTTTACCACGAGTAGTGAATGAGAGAGCTTTTTTTTCTAAGACCTTTATGCTAGAATAACAAAAGCCTTTCGAATTATCTTCCCATCTGTCTTTCATTCGTCTTACGAAAGACTATTTACTGTCTTAACCAGAATTGTCCTTTAAATCACCGAAAATGCAATCAGCAACCAATGGCTTCGATTAAGAGAAAACCTACAATTATTGTTATTCGGATAGGCAAGTGACCACCTCCGAAAATGTATACAGAATTTTGCTGTGTCTCTTTTGGTTCGTCTAAATAATCAACAAGACTTAATACCGGGATTAATTTAAAAAAAATCAGTATCCGCTTCTAGCCGCGTTGTTGATAGACAATGTCTTTTTACAAAAACTAACTTCATTGTTGAATTAATGATTCTGGAAATGGCACAGACCCCTGGAGCTGCAACTAAGTATGTATGTACATAAATATTTCAACGGTGATGACTAACAGTAGAAGAACATTCAGATGGATAAACAAAAGTTTGCGTTAAAATGGCTGCGAACGCAATCTTTGCCATTTAGCAAGAGCAACAAAAGCAGTGGCGACCAACGGCAGTAGCAAATGAACGCCATAGCCGGATTGCGTCAAACGCAAGGTAACCTTAACAACAATTTCAATGGCGGCAATAATTGCGATGGTAATCGCTACATTAAGCCGACGTTATGCTCAGCCATTCATGCAGGTGAACGGATTTGCAAAATAATACCGGGATGGAATGGAAATACGTTTATATTAATATTTACGTATGTATGTACATAATAATGCAAAAGTAATATCTACCCTTCTTACTTATTCACTACTAAAAGCGTTACCGCTATTATGTGCATTATCATTCGTAATCTGAAAAGGTATTGTACCAGCTTTTAAGCATTCACACTAATATGTACATATGAATGTATGTATGTACATTAATGTGGCCCTTAGTTATATGGAGAAAAGTTATAGTGGTTGGATTCTCGGTCTCAACCCCTGTGAACCTTTATTGTTCTCTCTTTTCAAAATAAGGGCCACCCTTATGGCAAAACGTGGGGTCTGACATGAAAGGAAACCTTTTGGATTTATACTTCTATGCTTAGACCCATAATCGCTATGCGTCAGTGATATGGTGGAGTAGACTCTGAATCGTAAGCGTGGGAAATCTGCTTACTAAACTTCAAAGAACAATCGCCCCGTGCTGGAGATTTCTCTACAACACCTGGCGCTACTCTCGATGCCACGCTGCACTTACTGTCTCTTTGAGTCTTCATACGTGGGCCACCTGCAGGTTAAAAAGAAACGGATGTTGGTATAAGACGGAGTGGGGCGAGGCAGTAATTTCTGGAGGCAGAGATCTGATCAATTGTGTTCTTTCAATGCCATATTATTGTGCTCTTTACTGATGGCTCCAAAATTGACTGTGGGTCAGGTGCTGGAGTTTTTATTGAAGATAATGATCTTACGGGCTGACGTATTTGCAAACCATACTTCCATGACCTACGTGGTGATAAATAGGTGGAGGACAAGGAGTTTACTTGTCTGCAGTGACAGCCAAGCTGCACTTAAGGCATTAGTTAGCCTCGAACTTACTTTGCTCAGGCTGCCAGGTCATTTCGGGAGTACCTGGTAATGAGACATCTGGCTATTTGGTCAGAGTTGGCTCAGACCAAGCATTCCTCGGTCCACATCTAGTTATAGCACCTTCTTCGGCCATCGAAGTCACCATCAGAAAAGGGGTGAATGCTTTGCTCAGCAATGACTGAAGGCATCGAGGAGATGCAGGTGGGCAAAGCCCTTTTTGCGTTTAATCTCAGAGTGTATATCTATTTACTTGCACTTATCAAGCAGACAAAAGCACCCTGCCTTGAAGAGGATCAGACGATGGAATACCTTTTGTACTTCCGTCCTGCTTTCGGTTGGTTGTAGTGCCTCCCGGGTTTTCACTAGAGTTTTAATTTGCGCATAATAGCGCCATTTTTATGCACTTTTCTTTGTATCTCTATTCCTATCTCTATCTCCATCTTTGTCCCTATCTCTTTCTCTACCTCTTTCTTTTTTGCTTTTACCTTATCCTTGTTTATATCTTTTTTATTTTCTTCATCTTCATATCCACATTTTCATTTGATCTTATCCTAAATTTAAATGTACCTTCATCTTTGTGTTTGTCTTTATGTTCATTTATTTTATTTTATTTTTTTCTTTGTGTTTATCCGTTTCTTCAGCTGCATGGTTACCTTTATACCGTTGCTTAACAAGTTGCTTTAATGTACTTTATTATTAAAATAAAAGACTACATTTAGAAGGCATTTCTGCCACCCAAACACCTTCCGTTGCATTCGCCATGCTGAGTTTTCACAGCCGCTGATAGAGAAGTTATACTTAATAAAAAAGATAAGAATATTTTTTCGCTCATACGATTAGGCTCTTAATTTACACCAAATTTCATGCAAGTGACCTTCAGTTAGTTCAATTCGTTCGACAGGATGGGAGAATGATGTAGTTTGAAATGAATTTTGTACGGAGGCAAACCGGTTTCGTTGTTGTGCTCAGTGCTCAGTGTCACTTATCGTTCACCGAACATTTCTTTCAGGCTTGAATTCGAATAACTGATACAACGAGTTAATTGCATAAATAAAAGGTACTCAATGGTTAAGTATCTCAAAAGGTCCGCCTACCCTGACTACACCACTGCTAACATCTTATTACATTGTACGAGTAATTCATCATTATTGACATATTTACAATTAATGTTCTTGTATTTGCTCACTTGTGCATATTTGCCTTTCGATTCCACCCATTAAGCAATCATTTAAGGCCATTGTGTATATTCTCTGACAGTACAAATGTGCCAATTTAATGAATTTATCTGTGCGTGTGGTATGTATTGTTGAATATTTAAATATTTGTTTACAAAGCATATCCTTCATACCCTTGATGCTACATATTATTTTATATTGCTGATGTGCTCTTAATTAGCAGCGTCTTTATTCTGGTTTTTGTTGTTGTTATTCTTGAAGTTTATTTTGCGCTAATTTCGTTGATCATTGCTGACTTCGCACAACAACGCCATTCAAGTATCCGTTCTTTGATTTGTTTGTTTTCGCTTATTTCTAGTTGTTAGGTCCCATGTTGATGTTTGACTATTTGTCTTTTAGATTTGTTAGTGAGAAGTTTTGTGTTGATGTCGAATAATTGCATTTATATTTCATTAAGCTTTGCAAAGATTTCATGGAATATTTTGTATATGAGGCGTGATTATGTAATAAGAAATTACCATAAAACTATTTAAATAAGTAGATAAAAGTGGAAAGTGAAAGAAACTGTTCAAAAAATGTACTATTTAGTATTATAAAAATTATAGCTAAACTCAAAAATATGTAAAAACAAAGTAGAAACTGAGCTACTACTTCTTACTCTACCCAGAAGCTTCGGTTAAGTTTTTTATTAGGTAGTACAAGAAGCACCCAAAATCAGCGACCTAAATTTAAATTGAGCTTTGTTAATCGAAAAATTTTAAAACCCAAAATTTTCATAATGATGGCTTCACAATTATTGACCACAAAATTTTCCACCCAGTAAACATGTATCTATCCGTAATTATAAAAAATAGAATCGATAATATTCTTAATTCCGGTGTTTCGAAACGGAATCTCAGCGGCCCCAAGGAAACTTTCAAGTACCGTTATCTCGAAAATTGGAGCCAATCTGGCAAAATAGAGGATGCCATTAAATATAGGGTGTTGCGATTAAGTCAGATCACTTTTCAAAAAATGATTTAGAAAACTTGAGCACAGTTATTTATAAATTAAGAATGGGACTTAAGGACTTTTGGTTGATTATAAACTGTGGACGGTAAATAGGTGGAAAAAACTCGATAGTAACAAATGGATATGCATTTGGGCAAATTAAAAAATGGATATATAGTTTGGGTCAAAAATATTGTTTGCCACTTATGTTTATTTATTACTTTTTAAGAATTTTCAATTAAATACAGTTCGTTCTCTAACAACAACCATATAAATCCGAGTTTAAAAAACTTTGTAGAAAAATAAGAAAATGCAACGAATTTTCATCGAAATTTCAAAATTTCTCAGAAGTTTTAGATTTTTCTGGAGTTTATAGCCCTTTCAGTTTTAGTGTAATAATGTGCAAGTTTCAAGTGGCTAAAAATTACCATAGATTTTTTTTAAATTTTAATTTTTTTGCCGAAGATATTGCGGTCTTCTTCCATATAAAATAAACTCGGTTTATTCGTTATATGGAAGCAAATGCGACAAAAAACTCGACACTTGCACATTGTTCATTGTGCCACATAGGTGGCAACCCTCTTCAAAATATTTACAAACTATTACTCCTTAAACTCTTTCTGTTTGGCGCCCATATGGTGATACATATTTCTATTACCGAATTCCCTTAATTCAAATTGAATTTAACTTTTTAACCAGGTGGCACCCCTCCAACAGTAAAGTTAAGAAACAAAGATTTTATTATCATTATTACAAAAGTGAGTTGCCAGATAAAAAAAAAAATAAATTCAAATTATTTCAAAAGTTAAACCAATTGTTACAAAATGGATATCAATTGAATAAAACCATTTCAATTGATACCCATTTTGTATTGATTGGTTTAACCTTTTAAATATTTTGAACTTAACTTTTCAAAATCTGGCAACTAACTTTTGACAAACGATTAATTTGATACCTCGTTTTTGAAAATCGACCGAAAGGTGCAGATCTGATGACCTTTACAAAAAATCCCTTCGCGTAATAAATATATACATAATAGATTTTAAAAATATTTCTTTTAGTACTTATCTTGGTGTGAATTAATTTAAGAACCTATTTTATATATATTTTCAGATTCTCCCATAAAACTACGCGAGGAAAATGAGCGCCTCAACGCTGAAATCAATCGCCTCCGGAAACTTTTGGAAAATTCACCAGAGGGCGCTGTCGGCGGCGTCGATCTCTCAGATTCGAATAGCTGTGGCGATGCACATTCAACCGATGGCAGCGGTGGCATGCCGCAGCAACGCGTTGATCGCCTCGAAGCCGAGCTGCGTTCGGCTAAAACTCAAATAATGACGCTACGCATTGAACGCAAGAAGCTGCGTAACGACAAGAGTGAACTGCTTGCACAGGTGAAACAACTTTGCGCCTCGCTGCAGGACAAAGAACAGGAACTGCGCGACTTTATACGAAATTTTCAAGATCGAGTGCGCGAGACTGAAACGAATAATGCCAAACTGACAGGTGATCGAGAACGCGAACGTTGGCAATTGTTGAAACAGGCGCGCGACGAAGCCGAACGTTCGTTGGCGCTAGCACAGCAGTTGAATGCGCGCGACTTACAGTTACAGCGGCTGCAAGATCAGTTGCAGGAGGCGCGTCGCCAACTTTCCGGCTGTTTGTCAGATCAAGAGAGTTTGCTCTCCTTCGCTCCACTAACACCACCGTCAGCCACTTCGGGTATGATAAATCAACTGGCTACAACAGTGACTGTGAACAGTGGCATGCGCACAGATGATAGTGGGCGAGGCAACTCGAACTCATTGTCGGCGTTTAGCAGCAGTTTGAGCGGTGGCTCAGGCGCAACGGCGGGTGATCGCAATTCGTGCTCAAACGATTCGGGTTTGCGGAATAGCAGTGATCGTGAGAGCACCGGTGGAGATTTGAATTTCAGCGATGGTACTTGCGAGAATGGACCATGCATAACAGTTGACCCAGACAGCATTTCATTGGTCTCCAGTCAAAATATGTATCAATGTGAGTGAGCATTGGATGGTGGCTGTGTAGATGTACTATATATTGAACTGTGCATATTTTTCTTGTAGATGGTACACCAAAGGAGCGTAGCCCAACTTTGTCGCCTTTGAACTCTGCCGCCTATTCGAGGTAAAGTTTTGTATATGAATTAAAAATACTCGAATCCGTTTTATTGATTTTTTACTTTTTAATATTTTTTCACTATCAGATCTGTGGAGCAACTCGGCTCGCCCGTAGAATCGGATGGTCCTGGCGCAGTTGCGCGTAAATTCGCGCCCAAAACCGGCACATTAAGCGCGCGTAATGGGCGCGGCGGCACTTGGGGTAGCATTTCTCGTGTTTTCGCACGTTCGCGTAATAAAAATAAAGCTCTGTCGGCAGATGGCGCTACAGAGTGTAAGTGTAGTTCAATCACTTATACCCACGCACAAAAACTAACCCACTAATAAAAAAAATTGTGTATTCTAGTAACTCCTTATCTTTCAGACGCAGACTATTCTTGGAGTCCACTCTCCGAAGAGGGCTATGCTGAGAAATTGCGCCTGTTGCGCGACGCATCACAACTGCCAATGGAAAGGTGGCGTGCCTCACAGGTACTCGCCTGGTTAGAGGTAGCGCTCGGCATGCCCCAGTACAGCTCGCGTTGTGCGGAGAATGTGAAAAGCGGCAAAGTACTGCTTGAGCTGAATGATGGTGAATTGGAGGCGGGCCTGGGATTAGTGCATCCCATGCATCGTAAGAAGCTACGCTTGGCAATTGAAGAGCAGCGTCGTCCGGAAATGGTGCGCTACCCCATGATCACACAGCTGGGACACACCTGGGTAGCTTCCGAATGGCTACCTGACATTGGACTGCCACAATATGCTGACTCGTTTCTGCATTCACTGGTCGATGCGCGCATGCTCGATACGCTGTCGAAGAAGGAATTGGAGAAATTTTTGGGGGTGACGAGGAAATTCCATCAAGCGAGCATTGTACATGGTGAGTAAACATTTTAGAGTATTATTCATAAAAGCTATTTTATTTATTTTTTAAACATTTAATTAGTTTCTGAAGACGAATATTAAAAGCTTAACTTGGGATTGGAGCGTAAATTACGAATCAATATACCGCTTCTAGAGCAGCTCATTTTCTCCAGATATTACTATTTTTATTTTATAAAAAAAAGTTCAAATTTTGGCAAGGAAGGAAAATAAAAAATAATACATATTCATTTGTTTTGCAAAAAGTAAGCAACTAACGTTGAAAATCGATGGATACATATACAATAATAAATAACAATAAATATTAACTGAAAATGTAAAATATTTTTATCAAATAGGGCCAGGAAATAATGTTACTCATACGCCATATCGTACATGGCCGTACCCGTTCATGCTCGTACCTGGCGTATGAGTAACATTTTCCATGTGAAAGTTTGCTTTTTTCCTTCGCAATGCAAACTTAAAATGAAAATATCTTGAGGAAAACGACCTGTTCTAGAAAAGTAGTGTCCAGATTCGCAATGCACGACCTAAAATTATGTTTACGTGCGCCGCGTATTTTGATCTCATTTTAGCGTCCCTGCATTGTAAACCATTTTCTTTATGTCTTCCTTAGGCATTCATGTGCTTCGCATTGTGAAATATGATCGCCAAACTTTGGCTATGCGTCGCGTACAATCAGAAAATGTGGACACTGATCCAATTGTGTGGACAAATCAACGTTTCATTCGCTGGGCCAGGTCAATTGATTTAGGAGAATACGCTGATAACTTGAAAGGTAAGTTGTTATTTTTGCATTTTCGAAGTAATGTTGAAAAAGTGTCCCCCTTTGCCACCGCTTTTCATCCAAATATGTGTATTAAAATTATATTTACACTTGGAATTGAAAAATAATAATTAAATAAATATGATAGCAGGCCCTTCTTCATTTCGGACACCAAATTTGGTGTCACAATTTCGATTCGCTTCAAACTTTTTTTAGGGGTTCGTTACATGAAATAACCTAGGACGTATTCGAGGAAATTTTCTTATAATTTTTTTGGAGATACGCTCTGTCGTATGTAGTTTGGATTTTTTCGTGACTCTAACTAATCATATATTTCTTCAAATCGTTCAACTTCAACTGTTAATAGCTAAGTTAGTTAGTTTTTCGCCATATATGCAAAGTTTTTTATTCTAATTTATTTTCGATAATTTTATATAAAAAATATAGTTGATTTTACACCAAAACACATACAAATAAAGTCTCTAAATTTTGTGCAAAACTCAGGAAAATTCAATAAATTGGAAATTGCAGAGCCAATTAGCTTGCCAGAAAAGGTACCAGTCTTGCACTGTGTAAAAACAGAGTTAAGATTGGGATATCCATGCAGTGATCACATATTGTGGGTAATTTCCCTATTTTAGGGATATTTTGCAGCAAAAATTATTAAAAGGGGAAAAATAGGGATTCTCATTTCACACAATTATCGATGCACAATTAATCACTATTCAAAAATATTCGACACTCTTACGTAATTAATCGTTCTAAAGATTTGATGTGGAGTAAAAGTACGTATAAATATAAAAATTATAAGGACAATTTTGACAATTTTCTCCCTTTAACCAATTCAAGTGCGGATTAAGAAAGAATCTTTTCAATTGTAACTGGTGTTTAATGCAGAAAGTGGAACAAATTATCTGATGAAATGTTAAATTATACATTTACATATATATATAAAATAACGAATGCTTTTGAATCAAAAAAAAAGTCAAGTGCTTCAACGTTAAAATCAACAAAGTATTCAACCATAAAAACACAAAAAAAGTTTCTTTAAAATCTTGGGTTTTAATATAATTTATGAATGTGGTAAATGTTTTAAAATTCTGTTAGACCATTTGTGAGTAATCTACCGACCATTGAATTTCGAAAGAATATTATATATTAAGGTAACATGAATGTTAATTTTTTACTACAGAAATATAGGTTTTCAATTCATTGGGAATTTTGTGGGACAAATTTTTAAGATTGGGTAGTTGAGGGATTTTTTTCCGATTTTCGTGGGTAATTTAACAGAGAATGTCTGGCATCACTGTATCCATGGCATTCTGCAAATCAAGGAGTAGAAGTAACATTATTCAATAGGCCAATAGGTCATGGTTGGGCGAGGGCAATTGTACTACAACTAGGCTACTATATCCACAAATTGATAATGAAACAACGGAAGAACTGCTCAGCCTCTCGATATAGAACATTTCGATGGTCATATCTCCCATGTTTGTTGCAGAAGTTGCAGAGATGAGAAAGAGGAAGAGTTCTTCTTTAGCTGCAGAGCGGGCTTTATATCTAGGTAGACACGGTCTTGGCTCTCTTACGGAACTATGCGGTGTAGGAAAAAAGCAAATCATAGGCTTCATAAGGATTTCAAAATGGCTCTATGCAGAATAGTCACTAAGCTTCTCGTGTTTTACAGTGGTATCACAATGGGCCTGCAAGCTCTAAGTGAGTTGCCCATTTGACTAACTTTGTTTCTCTTCAGGAGATTTACAATATCAGCATTCAATTGTTTATTTAACCATTCTTCAATACAATCTATTTTTTATAGGGTTCCTAAAAACCCAAAATGCAATAGGAGACCCATAACAAAATCAAACCATATTGACTTTCAAGAGTTACATATAAACCATTTCTACGAAACACTGATTTGATTTTGCTTCAATTTATTTCTTACACTTTTACAGACAGCGGTGTGCATGGCGGCCTTGTCGTATTGGAACCATCATTTTCTGGCGATACCATGGCAACAGCACTGGGTATACCACCATCAAAAAATATTATAAGACGACATCTCACCACAGAATTCGATGCGCTCATTTTGCCTGCAAGGTAAGAAATATTTACAATTACTCTTTTTTTATCTATCCTCCGTACTATCATATCAACAAATGTACTCGTATATCTGTGTGTGTATGTAGCGTAAGTGTGTATAAAATTTTTTTGTTGTTAAATGTATTTGCTAGTATGAAGATAAACATACATACATGTCCTTTTCATTTATAAAAATTAAAAAACATAATTTTATATATATTTGCCTGCTTTTGAGTTGGATAAATATTTAAATATGTATACGTTGTTATTATTATTTTTTGGGTTTATTAAATTGTTTTTTTTTTATTATTATATTTTGTTATAATTTTTTTTTTCACCAATCACATAGTTTGCAATCAAGCACATTGCCATACAAATAGTCAAGCATCATAAAATATGTAGATGAATCACTTTACAATGAGAAACAGTACATAAACAGCAGGTA